AGCGTATTATGGGGCTGTTTTGGTCCTTCGTTTTTTTTCGTAGTTGGGTGTGGGTGGGTGGGAGTTGTTTGTGAGATGGAGTGTTGTGGGGGGGGGGCCGCATGGCCGGGGGTAGCCCCTAAGGGCAGGGTTGCTGGGACCGGTCAGTGTTGCTGGGGTGGACGGGTTGTGTGGGGCGTGTGTTTCGTTGGGTTCTGTGGGTGGGGCGTGGTTATTTTGGAGCGAGCCGCGGGCCTTGTCGGTCGTGCGTCTCTGTGCGGTGGGTGAGTGGCGTGACTAGTCTCCGTCGTGTGTGTGTTTGTGCCATCGTGCTTACGTGTGTGTGTGGAGTCCTGTGTGTGTGTGTGTACTTATGGTGTGTGTGTGCTGTGTGTGGTGTGGCTGTGTGTGGTGTGTGGACTGAGCTTGTTTGTTTTGTTGTGTTGTGTTTTGGTTTGGGTGGGGTTTATGTTTTTGTTTGTTTTGGTTTTTGTGTTGTTGTGGTTTTGATTGTGTTTGGGGGTTTCGGTTGTGGTGGGTTTGTTGTTGTGGGCGTAGTGGCACCGTGAGTTGGGTTGCGATTCCGTGTGTTAGTTGGGTGGTTGTAGTTTTTTGATCTTTTACGATATTTGAGGAAATTTTTTTAGTTGTTATTGGTTTTTGGGTAGAGTTTTTGATTATTCAGTTTAGCGGCACGGTTAGTGTAATTATGATGGTTAATCTTTTATGTTTTTAAGGAGTGTTGGTAAAATTGTGTTTCCCCTGTTGATTTTTTTTTTTTGTTGTTTGTCGTTGTCCAAATGTTTAGTGGTTTACTAATCCTATTATAGTTGTTTGTTTGTTTTTTGTTGTAATTTTTTTTTTGATTATGAATAAATGTAAATGGTAGAAGTTGTTGAATTGTTTAGTGGTTTGGTTTTCAGTTCCCTTTTTTTTTGTTTGGTGGCGAGGGGTGTTTTACCCGTCTACTATTTTGAGTTTGATTGTTTTTTTTTGGTGATTGTATCGTTGTGGGTCTTGTTTGTTTTTGTTGTGTGTTGTTTGTGCGTGATTGAGTGTGTGGTGTGTTGTGGGGGTCGGGCGCGTCTTGTGGTGCTTACGGTGTTCTTGGGTTTGAGTCGTTTGGCGGGTTGGTTGATGGCCGGTCAGATAAGTCACTAGCACATCCCCCACTCCCCCCGTTGACAATTTACTAGTTGTACCGAAGTGGGCCGGTCGAGAGTCCCGGGCTGATTTTTAGTCCCAGTCCACCACTGGCTACATGACCGTATGATCGCCCATATTGACGCACCTAATTCCTAAACTTCTAACAGATACAAAATAAACCGATCCTTCAGCCTCATATGAGCTCTCAGACACGTTCAAAATTAAACTGTCATCGCTGTCTGAGCTTGCTGCTGTGTGCGCCATCGTGCGTTTACATGCAGATGCTGGGATCCTGAACGGTGCAGCTGGAGCGCTGTGCCCGCATTGACGTCACCCATAATTTGGCGGGACTTGAAGAATCCCCGAGAAGATCCAGGAAATGGTCAACATTGAAGGGCAGATTAATGGTTATCAAAGTACAAATATCCAAAATCAGTTCAGTAACGGTTTTCAAGGGGACAATATTTACTAAAATTGATGAGTTTGGATGATGGGGGAAAATCGTGTCAAAGGCTCTTTAAGTATAAATGATCTAACATTGTGATCTCAGTCTGTTCACAAGGATCAGTTTGGGGCCTTGTTTTTTATACAGTTCATTAATAACATTGTTTTGTCTCTACATCCACGTTTATGCAGTCAACGCTATTTTGCATTGTTTTGCTGACACTGTACAACTTGCTAACCCTAAACCAACATAACATTTTCCTTTGGAGCTTTCCAAAATACACTTGTCAAACTATCAAAGAAGAGTATAAATATTTGTTTATAAGATCGTTGGTTGGTCCTTTCTGGTGTGATTAACACCTGTCCCTTGTTATCCATACATTAAACTTTTCAGACATTCACCACTAATTATAACATTTATTCTGGACTGGAGCACAGTGCCCGACCAAACTCTACCATATTTTTTCCCTTCGATTTTGCAAGTCTACTCTGAACCTGGAAAGTCTGCCTATAGTTTCTATGAACCAAATATACGGAATTATGCTTAAGGCTTCATTAAAGTTTTGAATTGGATTTTAACCAAAACTTACATTACGTTTAAAAAAATAAATAATGGAAAGGGACTGACAGCATTAAGAGTCCATCTTTTAACTAACTAGTATTATACGAACCAAACAAATAAACAGTTAATTCCTCACTTACCCCTCCCCTGCTCGACCCTGACCAGCACACGGTCCGTACTTGTAGGCATAAACAAGGCGAGGGATGAAGTCTGAGGTAACAGCGATGACAAAGGCATTGGTGATGACAGACAAGATGCCAATGCCCTCCAGAATGCCATACCAGATTCCTACGACAAACGCATCATTAGACATGAAATTATAACTTCAAACCATTGAATTCATGAAGTCCAACTTCAAAAGATTTCTTGTAAATACAACATTGTGAATTCACCAATGTCTTTGGCTTGTGAGGGCAGAGGGCGCCGCCACTGTGTTACAAACTTGTAGGCGTCCAAACGGATCTCGATAACATTGTTGATCAGCGCTAAGAGAGGGGCCAGAGGAAAAGCTGCCACAAAGATGGTGGTGAAACCAAACTGTAGAACTGAAACAAACACAAAACCATGAGCCTCCAGGTTTCTAGTGCCTGCAGAGGTTAAACATACAGTAACTCACACGTTAGCAAACAATTGGGTATTTACACATTCAGCAGGTAGGAGCAACATCAGCATTCATTCAGAGTCGTGTTACTGGACACATAATGTATTTTCTATCCATCAATACTTGAGGGAAACATTTGGCTCTGTTAGCAGTTAATGCTCCAATTTGCCAACAAGCACTTGGAACAATGCGCTTATGTCCCATTTGGTCTGTCTGTAATTTGGTGTAGGGCAGGATGTGTCATGGTAGCTCATAGCAGTGAGTGTGAACATTTTCAACTAAAAATATAAGCTGAAAGAAGATAAATTGCTGAAGAGAACACTCTGGTCGAGGGATAATTATTTGTGGGTTCGTCACTACGAGTTACCTGTACTGATAACCTCAGCTTCATAAATAGAGAGAGTTTGTGTCATCTACTGTACATGCAGTGTTGTAGTCAAGTCACCAATTCTCGAGTCCGAGTCACTCTCGAGTCCCCACTTTTCGAGTCCGAATAGCGGGGGCTTGAGCAGGTTAATCCGGACTCGAGACAAAACATGTTTCAGTCCGAGTCCAAGTCTGAACTTCAATGTGCGAATCCGAGTCATTGTGCGCGAGAATTCACAAGTCCGAGTTTGAGTCCGAGTCCATCAGTGTGCGAATCCGAGTCTAGTCACGAGTCTAACAAATCGGCCAAAGTCCAGGACTCGAGTAATGCCTACATGAGTAAGGTGATTACTCTCTGTGAATAACAAAATGTATGCAACATACTCATTTCTAGATATTCATCAAAGAGTCCATATTCATTCATTGGCTGTAGGTTGTAATCCTTCTCCCACTGTGGAAAGCTGGCCTTGGCATTCTTCCCATGCTCTCTCCTCAGCCTCCGCCGTGTCCACCAGTTCTGGATCAGCCTGGAGAAACAACAACATACTTGGTATAGGGGAAACAAATAGATTAAAAATTACAACAGCTTTTACTTAGGAAAACAATACAATGGCACTTTATCTGACCAATTTATCTTGGTGTTTGTAGGTTCCTAAAAAGCACTCACGGGTAGCCGAGCTCCATGAAATTGTTCCAGGTCTGTTTCAGCACCATGATGATCCCCATTTGCATACAGAGGTCGATGAGACAGCCACTTGGATGGCACTACAGCAACATGATAAATAAATTGCACATGTTGGCGAAAAAGCTCTAAGATCTAAGAAAATAAAACAAGTATAAACTATTTTGGAAAAAACATTTTGCCTACACTCCCGGTATCACAGTTTGATTCACGGAACAGATCAAGTTTATCTAAAATGGTGTGTAAGCCACCTATTATGCAAAATCCACTTTTTCATGTCTTTTATACAAATATATGTGTCCCCTCTGTGTTAAGGGATGTGGAAAGTTTCAGGAAAAAAGGTTATCTCTCTTTGTCCCGATCTATCTATATAAAAATCAGAAAATGATCTATTCAGATTTTTTACATTTAAAACTACAGATACAGAGACATGCTACAATACATGTTCTGTTTGGTATTTCAAGCCAAAAAATATCTGGGACCTAAAATATATTGTTAAAAAATAGTATATTAGGGAACCTTTAAGGGTCTTTATGTAAATGTACACTGTATACAACTAATGTCTCATATGGAATTGTAAGTGACTGGTTATTTAAAAACATTTTGCAGCTGTGAGAAGCTTCTTCATTTACCTTTGAATTGCACTGTGAGAGATACTTTATGTGTTGTTTTAAAGCTTTATATTTTACAGCAGTTTAGCAGTCACCCATTCTATGATACTTGTTGGTATTTCCCTTTTCCCAGTTGACTTTAGCTGAGCGTCACAGTTCCCCTGAGTTGATTGGAAGTTATTCAGAACACCTGTTGGCTCCTAATGAAGAACTGAGAGCAGCTGGGTGCATTTCCCCTCTCAGCCAATCATAGTGTAGGGCGCCCCCTCGTTAGGGCATAAGAGAGCCAGAGGGTGTTTCTCAATGTCGAGTTCACTTGCTTGGTAGCACATGTCTTCTGAGTCACTTGCTTCAGAAGCGAGGCAAGAATACTTCCTGGCATTCGGAAAAGGAAGAGTGGAACAGGCGAGCAAGTGTGCAGGCGTGCGTGATATGAGAGCCTTACATTTTCCGCCACAGATTTGGGGAAATTGTTACGTGCGCAAAGCATTGTGGAGATTTTAAGACCGCGGAGTCTACACATGTGCAGCCCTGGTGCAGCCTAGAAATTTCTCGCTACGAAGTACGCCAGGCTCGGTAGAATTCCAAGTATGCTGGACATTGGAACAGTCCTTCGGCGGCACTCGATGACGTCAAGCCCGCCTTAACCTGCCATCAGGCCCTGGGGCTGATAGGTTTTGTAGGCCCCCTATTTAAACAACAAATCAAAGTCATTTATAGCCTCGGCAGGCTCTGTGATCGCACTTCTCCACTCTGCTCTACGCGCTCCTGGTCCTCTCCTCCAAATGAGTGACGTATCGGGCCTCCCTCATGTACATTGGGGCAAAAAAGTATTTAGTCAGCCAGCAATTGTGCAAGTTCTCCCACTTAAAAAGATGAGAGAGGCCTGTAATTTTCATCCTATGTATACCTCAACTATGAGGGACAAAATGAGAAAACAAAAATTCAGAAAATCACATTGTCTGATTTTTAAAGAATTTATTTGCAAATTATGGTGTAAAATAAGTATTTGGTCACCTACAAACAAACAAGATTTCTGGCTCTCACAGACCTGTAACTTCTTCTTTAAGAGCCTCCTCTGTCCTCCACTTGTTAACTGTATTAATGGCACCTGTTTGAACTCGTTATCAGTATAACACCTGTCCACAACCTCAAACAGTCACACTCNGACATGACCTCTTTCTACTTATTTCACACACCGAAGCCCTCACAGCTTGACGAAACCTACGCGGTGCACGACCGCGCCAACCACCTCAAATACCAACACAACGCACACCCCTCCGCGCAGTCTCTCACACACACTCAGCTTCCCCCAACCCTCCTTCGTCACCGCAAGCCCCCCCGCTCCTCATCGACCTGCGGTATGTTCTGCTCCAGTGACTGTGGTTCATAAATGCCACACGAGTGTTTGGGAAGTGCAAGCAGTCCGTGTGTCATTTAGGTTCGGTTTTGAAGCGACTCCGCTTAGCCTTGGCCTCGAAGCGCACAAATCTCAATCCAAATCAGCGATAGACTTTTCGCGCCCACTGCACGTTCGCAATTCAACACGTGTTCTAAGGTGTCAACAAAATTCACACAAAAAAGTAGAACATCTGCATAAACTGTTCATCTGAACATCGCGCCGCTCCCAAGAGTTTGTAGCCCTCGTTTGTAAGCTCGTTTCAGGCTCGTCTGTGTGGGCTGCTACTCCCGGCGAAGGAAAAGACACAATCTCCCCCTGGCCGAGCCACAGAAACGATCCAGGAGCTTTCCTCTTGCTGAGCCATCGGACATTCGTTATGCGACGAGTAAGTCTCGTGTGTCAGCACACTCGTTCCAGCAAGCAGCTTACGGAACAGCGTGTTTGGTAGGCCTGGAGGCTTGAGCGAATGAAATCCACAATTCATCGACAGTTCAGGTGTTTTTCAAATCACCACTGAGGCTTTGCACACAACACAAGATTGAGTGAATAATACAGTGTCACAATACTTGCATGGTGGGGCTATGGCAGACAGACGTGCACAGCGCCCTGAACTCTGCGATCATCAGCTGCCGAGCGCGCAATCAGGGGACCAACAGGCACACTGTTTTTAAATCCAGTTGACTTCGTTAAACCAAACGAGGACTCATCTTTTGAAAGCATAACTCACCTCGTAGGTGTCTCCAACGGAAAAAGCCCCCCCAGAATTTCTTCCCTAAAGCGAACCTCCATCGAAAAACGTCACATAACGGAGGCAACAGCTGGGCATGCAGTACAGACCCACGCTTGATCGTCCACAGCGATTGATCATACAAGTCCCCCTGCTTTTCCGAAAGGTTTTCAAAAGCTTCCCGACACATCCTTATGAAAGTAGGTTCACTCTGCGAAGTGTTGTTGTCGGTCTGAGAGAGGTACCTTTTTTTAAATGGCTGAAGTGACCCTGCTTTTACTTTTTGTCAAATAACCACCATTCGAGAATCCAGCATTCTTCACGCGTCGGTAAAACAGGGCTCTTTCTGTCTGGCCTAGTGTCCTCGCTTGACTCGGCAGGGATGCTATCGTAGGCTCTCTCTGGTCCGTGCAACAAGCGACTAAAAGCTACATGACTCCGTTCAAAGATATGCTAGCTAGTCCCTGTACTTTCCTTCTCCGTTCCTCTGAGCCCACGGGAAAACTGGCAGAAAACGAGCCGTGATTTGAATTGTAGTGTCGCTTTACGTTGTATTCTTTCATCACGGATATACTTTCGTTGCACAATAAACACACCGGTTTATTACTTGTTGCGGCTGGCAAAGTAAATACATATTTGTCAGTCCATTCATTCTGGAATTGGCGATTTTCCAAATCAACTTTACGTTTCTTGGGCTTGGAGAGAGACATCTTGAAGCTGTTACTCGCTGGCCCGCGAACCTAATGTGTAACGTGAGTTTGACTGAGCCAATGACAAGTGCGGACACAGTGCGGGTTTTTTTTTTTTTTATGAACAGAGCGCGGCAGGCAAAATAACGGATTCAAAATAATTCAAATGAATGGAAAAACCAGCGTTTTCGCCGCATCGTCGGATTTACTGTGATCAGACATTAGTTTTATTTATGCTATTACACATATGCCATTTCGATTTGCAGGCAACCTCTTGTGGGCCAGAAAAAAGTTCTGAAGGGCCTGATTCGGCCCGTGGGCCACTAGTTGAATAGGCCTGCACTAGAGGTTTCTCAATACTCAAATTTCCCCTCCTCGACTCCTATCCTCGACTCCTCTCCTCGAGACTTGGTGCCGCCCACAAATGAGAACTCCTCTCCTCTAAGCGGTCATTTTAAAGAGACGTCCATTAATGATGACAGGAGGCACAGCAGCCCTCTGTCTAATGGACAGATGTGTTCATGACCACTTATATATTTACTTTTAATTCATTGACAGTGCGGTATAATGAGACAATAACAGGCTACAGATGCGGTGCCCCTCCTTTGACGACCTGGTGGTCCCGAGCTCCCCCAGGAGCACCATATCGATACCGAATTTAGTGCGGACACCCGTTCGGCATAGTCCCTGCAGCTCAGAGCTCTTGAGCTCAAACGCTCCTCCAGCATCAGCCTTCCGGTAACTGGGATTACAGGCGCGCGCCACCGCACCCGGCAAGAGGACTCTGCACGAGAGAGGGTTTGGGGTTTAGAGACGTGACCAAGCCNCCATCAGGCCCTGGAGCTGATAGTTTTTGTAGGCCCCCTATTTAAACATCAAATCAAAGTCATTTATAGCCTCGGCAGGCTCTGTGATCGCACTTCTCCACTCTGCTCTACACGCGCCTGGTCCTCTCCTCCAAATGAGTGACGTATCGGGCCTCCCTCATGTATTTGTCCGGTTGCCGTTGGCTCCCCTCCACGTAGCAAGTCCTCGTCGTCCTCTCCATCTCCTCCAACAGATAATGTCCCTCCTGTCTGTTTTTCCTCTCCCGCTACTCCATCGCTATCAGAACCAGACGGCCTACTTGTCTCCGAGGCCCCGCGGCCGGCACCGCTACCGCTCGGTACAGAACTCATCTGTCCTTCCTCCTCATCCTGGCCTACAGGTTTAAAATAACCTGTAAGCTTCGGCATTTTTTGTAACAGCTGCTTGTTTCGAAACTCCTTTTCCCTCAACAATTTCCTTTTCCGAGCGCCACTCTCAAACTTTTTCTTCACTCAATCACTCGCAATTTGAATAAGTCACATGTGAAACATATTCTCATTCTGATTGGCTGTAAGTGGTGCCCACTGACTGTTACGGAGTCTT